GTAAAACTAATTTTACTGGCTACATTTATTCTAAAAGTGTTTAGCAAACTAAGGTGCAACACTATCATTGGCTGCCACTTTTTTTTTTGATACTTCGATTTTCTTGGAGACAAAACAATGCCATTAAAGCTGCATAATATAGCAAACACATAATATGGCAGGGATCTTAAACTGTTCTGCAGATTCTTATATACTTCTGTTATGTAAATATCAAGATAGGCCATTCTAGGACATTTACTGAAATCTTTCAACCTTCTATGAATGAGGTTCTGTTTTAGATATAATTGCATTATCATTTAGAGAAACGTTGTTGATAAAGTTAAAGTTTATGTTAATCCAATTACTAAAATCTCATGTTTATGATACAAAGTGATATTGCAAAACTAAATGTTATTCAGTTAGGGTTTACACCTACTTTATAATTTACAAAGGGCTATGCATCCTCCCCCACACTAGTATGAGTCAGTCCCCAAGCCATCTGATAATAGGCCACTCAGAATCCAAGCACTGCATTGTAGGAACTGCAGAGGATGTGCAAGAGTTCTGACCCCAATTGGGAAAGTCACATTTGATCTCTAGCTCAAGGATGGCAGCTCTTTGTTCAGCATTGTATCCCACAGGACCTCACCACCCCCCCCCCCCTCCCCCCATAAAAGTTTGAGAAAAGTATAAGGCTGAGATTGCCACCAGTTAGTGTCAATGCAGTGTTATACAATAAGGATACTATATCTTGGTACAACATCAACTCCCCCACCCCCCCCACACACACACACTTTTTTGTATGTATTTTATTTTCAATGACATACTGCATATACTGTATATATATATATATATATATATATATATATATATATTTTTTTTTTTTTTTTTTTTTTTTTTTTAAATGAGTGTAGCTCTACCCCCTGACTGTTATTACTCCAGCTAGGCTCCTGTTGTCAGCCCATATCGCTGGAGTCCATACATACTTATAACGCATGAATAAGGTTTTGTAAGCTAACTTTTTAGCAAGAGTTTCAAACCTTTACTGGACTGGCACTCTCATCATTTTATACTTTGCTCTGCATTGTGGGAGGGCAGGGGCAGTGTCATATGTTCCCCATACTTGGAAGTAGTGAGTATTTTCAATGCAATCTGGCAGCAGCAGCAGCAGCAGCAGCAAGGATGCGCGGGAAGGGGAATGCAAGTACTGGTGTATTATGGTCTCTCCTATAAACCAACGCTGTTGCTTTACCATCTATTGGCAATATTGTGTAGCACTACCCCCTTAGGGATTGCTGTTGATTTGGGTTCCCCTGTAGTCCTGCACGGCCAGTCATTCAGCATTTCTCCAAACAAATTTTCCTCCGGAGACAGAAACCAGTCCTTGAGCTTTGGTTTTGGTATTTATTGAGGGGATTAGAACTTGGATAGGGTTAGAGGCAGGGGCAGACTGACCATTTGAGCACTTTGGCACTGCTCGAGGGCCCAGGGTCAGTAGGGGGCCCCATAAGATGCCCCTGGTACCTTTCATTGGCTTTTTCATAGGCTTTTTTGGGTGTGGGTGAGGACACAGGGGCCCCATGATCCCCTATTGCCTGGGGGCCCCAGGAGTTGTCAGTCCGCCCCTGGTTAGAGGAATATAGGATGCCCAAGGGAACCGATATCTGAGGACAACTTCCTGAACTATTCACAAGCTTCTTTTCTGCAGCACAATCTCTGTTGGGGTGCTAGCCAGCAACTCCTAGTTGTATCACCCCAGAACCTAGATGAACTCCTCCTCACCTAGCAATCTGGAGACTTTCTTCCTGAGCAGGGGATCTGGCTCCTGTTCCTTTAAATAAGGTGCACAGTCACTAGCAGGGGGCTAATCTGGTTTCCCACCAGAGTGCTCCTTCCCCTATCTGCCCAGGGGGTGCAGGTGTACTCACTCAGATTCTCTTCTGTACTGCTTGAGGGTTTGCTGCTGCTACCAAGCCTATCAGCTGGGCTGCTCCTTCCCTGCCATAAATGGTGGTCCTCTCTCAGGGGGCCATTGGGTCCCGAGCTTTCCTCCTCTTTGACTCCAGGCAGACCCCATCCCACTAGGCCTCCTGGAAGCCTTCCTCTTGCAGCTTCACATCTTCCTGCTCCACACTCCTCTCCCACCACCACACTCCCTGCAACTGAGCAGGCTCCAACACTTCTAAGAGAGTCCCAGCCCCTTGCCAAGCCTTCTGTTGGGGATTGGATTAAGTCCCTCAAGAGTGCAGCCAGTCACTCTTCAGATCCACCCACTGCCTCCAAGACCCTCCTCCAAAAGCCTCAGAGCTGGAGGAAATTCCAGAGGGGCTGACCTGCAGAGTCTCTTAATCCTGACCAGAAATTGACCCCTCTGGCTATCTCACCTGAGCTTTTAACCAGGGAAGTTGCTACAATAACATTCAAAAATTGATCTCCTCAGTGTAACACCCTCCTAAATAGGTGCTAGGATTGGTTAGGTTTAGTGCTGCCTCACTGTGTTCAGTGAATCTGTGTGTATTTTTGTCAGGTAAATTTAGCTTGCCTTGCTAAAAGCAGTGTGGCTTTAATTAATTAGTTAGGTCTGTTCAGTGTTCTCAGCTGCTGCCAGTCTGATAACTCCCTCTGCTTTACCAGAAATTAGCAGAACTTTCTGGATTATAGGTGTGGAGTTATGCCGATGACAGCATGAATATTTATACAGCCCTGGCTAATCCCAGGAAGCAAGACCCTGATGGCAGCTGGGCAACTGTATATATTCTCTGGGCACAGTGAGCTCTGGGTCTTTTCCTGTGTAGGATCAGTCCAGCCTGTAGGGCGGCTGCCCTCGAAGGCAGCATTGCCATGTGCTTGCTGTTCGAGAGGCCTCAGGTAGGCGACCTGAGGTTCTGGATGCTGAAGCTGCTGAGAGCTGACTGAGGGGCTGCCTATTGAATATCTAGCCTGTTTTCACTGAAGGAAAGTGTTGTTTGGAAGTTGAAAGGAGGCAACCAGCTATCCCTGGACATTTTGTGAGTACAGACTGCTAAGAGATCTCAGAGACCTTTGGGCTACTGCCACCCCAGGTTTCTTGTAGAGAGTCAGCTGTGTGTATTTGCTAAAGGGGACATCGGCTGATGTCCTGAGGAGTTTAGTCTGCCTAGTTTTCTGTGACGGGACTCTACTCTTCTGATCTCTACTGATCTTGTTGTTTTAAAGAAGGAAGCCTTCTTACTGTTCTACTACAAGCCAAGCCCACAGTTTGCTAAATGTAAGGACTTCTGCTTCAAGCTTAGGGCTCATATACACTGCAGCTGATAAACTCACGTTTAGGAGCTGTTCAGCGTTTTTTTCAGCAGCCCCTGAACTCACCCTAATGTTTTCCTATGTGTCCATGTACACATCTACATTTATGGTCATTTACAGGCAGTTAAGTTTACAGTCTTTTTTTTTTTAACGCAACAAACTTGCGTTCAGACGTTAATTTTATCAGCGTTTCAAATGCAAAACGCTTGTAAACACAGCTAAACACGACAAATTGTGTTTATAAGCATTTGCAATTTTTTTTTTAACTCTTCTAATTTCCAATGCTGTCCAGGGCCTTTTTCATCATGAAAAATGCATACAAAGAGTTTTCAAGGTGCTCAGATGGACAAAACACTTAACACAGGATGTTCCTACCAAGCCTGTCACACATTGTAATGACCAATTCACACCTCAGACCTCTCCCACCCTTGGAAACAAAAGATATGTAAATGGTCATTCACACCTCAAATTCCTCATGAAGACCCCCTGCCAGGTGACCTTAATGACTCACTCCAGCAGACACCTTCCCACCATTGGAAACAAAAGAAATTTTAATGAGCAACTCACACCTAATTATCTCAACACATACTACTGTCTCTGCTTCTACTGTGTGTATTTCTCTGAAACAGTCTGAAATAGTTAATAATTTGCCACTTTTCAGTGCATTCTGGGCATTAGGGAGGTTCTCCTGTGCTTATCGTTAAAAAATGCTTCTAAACGCAAATGTACATAAACGCGCATAAATGTGGCTAAACCGACGTTTTTTTACCTACATTTTCCAGCAGTCAGTTTCCATCATTTAGAAATGCCTCGTGTACATTGAGCCTTACAAAAAAGAGATCACTGTCCTCAATTTGAACATAGTTTCTGATTTGGAGTGTCCCACTCAATTCTCTCATCCCTATCCAAGTTCTCCAAAAAGAAAAACAACAAAAACAACACCCCTAGAGTGGTTATTGAGGAAAAGAATGACTGTGTTTGTGTGCCTGGCTGCGGGGCAATCCACCAGGGAAGAACCTGGGTAAATTTCCAGTGGCTCCTATGGGAGTAAACGCTAAATCTGTTATTTGTTTACTTTTTGCATCATAATTGTAAGACTTCATATTTTTCTCACCTTATCTGCTTCTGTTTTTATGATCCAAGAACAACTTATATTGTGACCATAGGATTCATTGCCTGGATTGCTGGGGTAGCTCAGTGTCCCATTTAAACCAATGAAAACACCTCCACAAGCTGAATTAAAAAAAAAAATAAAAAATGTAACTTAAGACATCCCTAAAGTGGAACTTTAGTCAGAAAATTACCCACTTCAAGTCCAGACACTTTCACCCCCTTCCAGTCCAGGACAATTTTCAGCTTTAACGCCATCACACTTTGAGTGACAATTACTCAGTCATGCAACACTGTACCCATATGAAATTTGTAGCCTTTTTTGAGACAGATAGAGCTTTCTTTTGGTGGTATTTTATCACCACTGTTTTTTTTTTATTTTTTGCTATATAAATGAAAAAATACCAAACATTTTGAAAAAAAAATCATTTTTTGCTTAGTTTTTGTTATAAAATTTTACAAATATTAATTTTTCTTCATAAATTTAAGCCAAAATGTTTTTCTGCTACATTTTTGGGGTAAAAATAACCCAAAACAGTTTATGTTATTTAGTTTGTGTACAGTCTACAAACTATGGGATATATATTTGAAAATTGATCAGTTGAGATCCTAAAATGCCGAACGCTGGTATGGCATATGGCAGTGATCAGGACGCTGGTATGGGGGTGATCAGGACATTAGCATGAGGTATGGTGGTGATCAGGACGCTGGTTTGGGGTATGGCGGTGATCAGGTCATTAGCATGAGGTAGGTGGTGATCAGGATGTTGGTATGGCAGTAGCCAGGACGCTGTTATGGGGTTTGGGGGTTATCAGGATGCTGGTATGGGGTATGGCAGTAATCAGGATGCTGGTATAGGGTATGGTGGTGATCAAAATGCTGGTATGGGGTATCGCGGTGATCAGGATCCGGTATGGGGTATTGCGGTGATCAGGATGCTGGTATGGGGTATGGCAGTGATCAGGGTAATGGTATGGGGTATGGCGGTGATCAGGATGCTGGTATGGCATGCGGAGTGATCAGGATGCTGGTATGGGGTATGGTGGTGACCAGGATGCTGGTATGGGGTATGGTGGTGATCAGGATGCTGGTATGGGGTATGGTGGTGATCAGGGCACTGGTATGGTGTAATGCGGTGATCAGGGCACTGGTATGGGGTATGGCGGTGATCAGGGCACTGGTATGATGTATGGCGGTGATCAGGGCACTGGTGTGGTGCATGGCGGTGATCAGGGCACTGGTATGATGTTATGGCGGTGATCGGGGCACTGGTATGGTGTATTGCAGTGACCAGGGCACTGGTATGGTGTATGGCGGTGATCAGGGTACTGATATGGTGTTTGGAAGTGATCATGGTGCTGATATGGCATATGGCAGTGATCAGGGTGTTGGTTTGAGGTATGGCAGTGATGAGGACACTAGTATGGCGGTGATCAGGACAATGGTGTGATGTATGGGGGTGTTTTGTGTGCACTGGGACAGGTGACAGGGCCTCCCTGCATTATTTATTATTCTTATTGTGGTGGCAGTGATCAGAGACACAGGGGCACTATACTGGGGTGGCTGGCACTGCAGTGTGTGAGTTTACAAGTAGCCTGGCAGACTGCTATACACTCACACACTGCAGGATCGCTTCTCTCTGCTCTCACACTGAGAGCAGTTCAGTTTCCAATATTCACTATGTGTTGTGATTGGTCACAGAAATTACATGGTAAAGCACCACGTGATCACCCGAACACAGTGGTAATGTGATTCACTGTGTCCAGGCGACACACCAAACACCAGGCTCCGGGGGGGGGGGGGGGAACTCTGTGATACGTGCATGCGCCATCAATGCGGGCTGACATACAGGAATGTTAGCCTGCATCGGCGCTGCATCCCGTCCGCTGTCTATATACAAAGGGCAGACGGGAAGTGGTTAAGTCCTGATAGATCACTTCATGCTGGCCCCTTTTGCAGGTATAGCTATGTACAACATTAAAAATAAATGTCTATACCCATGTTTCTCAAGTAATGGGTTGTGACCCAAAAGTGGGTCGCGACCAGGGGCGGACTGGGCTATAGGGTAAGTGCCCCCCGCCCTCTCTAATGCTCCAATATAATGCATGGTTCCCTGACAACGTAGCTTAATAAAAACTGCCAGCTGCTATAATATAAATGTTAAGATAGCCAGGACCGCAACTACGGCCGGCCTTAATAATTGTATCAATTCGGCCAGCTGGACTCAGTAAGGAGGTGCACATGGTGCACTTACAACAAGGGCCCTCACTCTCATTCCTCCTTCCAGCCATCCACACAGGAGGGAAGAAAAGCACCACTGGACTCCGGGGAATGACTCTACTAGGTACATTTCCTGGGTTGTGGCTGGGTGATGGAGAGCACATGTTGAAAGGAGTGAAAGAAAACAGGAAAGCGATGGTGATGGGGGGAGACTGAAAGTGTGCATAAAAGGGGAGGACTGAAGGTCATGAAAGGCAGGTCAAGGTGGGTATTGAAGGAGAGTGTGAAAGGGGGATAAGGAAAGATCATAAAAGGGGAAAGGAAGGCGGCATGAAAGGGTGGGCTAGAGCAGGGCATGGAAGGGGGGATTGAAGGAGTACATGAAATGGGCAGGACTGAAAACCCTTACACAAATATTGTATAAATTATATTTTTTATTTAAAAAGCCACTGAAGACATTAATACTCTTAACTCACTGTGCCTTTAAGAGGGTGAGAGGTAGAGGAGGCATTGCTCAGCTTAATGGGCTATTAGTGAGAGGTAGATGGGACATTACTTAATGTGAGAGGAACACAGCAGTTAGTAAGGGGAACACAGGAGTCAGTGAGGGGAATGTAGGAGTCAGTAAGGGGAACAAAGGAGTCAGTGAGGGGAATATAGGAGTCAGTAAGGGGAACACAGGAGTCAGTAAGGGGAAAACAGGACATGGCAGTCAGTGAAGGGAACACAGGAGTCAGTCAGGGGAACATAAGAGTCAGTAAGAGGAACACAGGACACACCAGTCAGTGAGGGGAACACAGGAGTCAGTGAGGGAAACACAGGAGTCAGTGAGGGAAACACGGCAGTCAGTGAGGGGAACACAGGAGTCAGTGAGGGGAACACAGGAGTCAGTGAGGAAAACACAGGACTTGGCAGTCAGTGAGGGGAGCACAGGAGTCAGTGAGGGGAACACAAGACACGACAGTCAGTGAGGGGACCACAAGAGTCAGTGAGGGGAACACAGGACATGGCAGTCAGTGAGGGGAACACAGCAGTCATTGAGGGGAACACAGGACATGGCAGTCAGTGAGGGGAACACAGGAGTCAGTGAGGGGAACACAGGACATGGCAGTCAGTGAGGGGAAACCAGGAGTCAGTGAGGGGAACACAGGACATGGCTGTCAGTGAGGGGAACACAGGAGTCAGTGAGGGGAACACAGTACACGGCAGTCAGTGAGGGGAACACAGGACATGGCAGTCAGTGAGGGGAACAAAGGAGTCAGTGAGGGGAACACAGGATACGGCAGTCAGTGAGGGGAACACAGCAGTCAGTGAGGGGAACACAGGACACGGCAGTCAGTGAGGGGAACACAGGAGTCAGTGAGGGGAACACAGGACATGGCAGTCAGTGAGGGGAAACCAGGAGTCAGTGAGGGGAACACAGGACATGGCTGTCAGTGAGGGGAACACAGGAGTCAGTGAGGGGAACACAGGACACGGCAGTCAGTGAGGGGAACACAGGACACGGCAGTCAGTGAGGGGAACACAGGAGTCAGTGAGGGGAACACAGGATACGGCAGTCAGTGAGGGGAACACAAGAGTCAGTGAGGGGAACTCAGGACACGGCAGTCAGTGAGGGGAACACAGGACACGGCAGTCAGTGAGGGGAACACAGGACACACCAGTCAGTGAGGGGAACACAGGAGTCAGTGAGGGAAACACAGGAGTCAGTGAGGGAAACACGGCAGTCAGTGAGGGGAACACAGGAGTCAGTGAGGGGAACACAGGAGTCAGTGAGGGAAACACAGGACTTGGCAGTCAGTGAGGGGAGCACAGGAGTCAGTGAGGGGAACACAAGACACGACAGTCAGTGAGGGGACCACAGGAGTCAGTGAGGGGGAACACAGGACATGGCAGTCAGTGAGGGGAACACAGGACATGGCAGTCAGTGAGGGGAACACAGCAGTCATTGAGGGGAACACAGGACATGGCAGTCAGTGAGGGGAACACAGGAGTCAGTGAGGGGAACACAGGACATGGCAGTCAGTGAGGGGAAACCAGGAGTCAGTGAGGGGAACACAGGACATGGCTGTCAGTGAGGGGAACACAGGAGTCAGTGAGGGGAACACAGTACACGGCAGTCAGTGAGGGGAACACAGGACACGGCAGTCAGTGAGGGGAACAAAGGAGTCAGTGAGGGGAACACAGGATACGGCAGTCAGTGAGGGGAACACAAGAGTCAGTGAGGGGAACACAGGACACGGCAGTCAGTGAGGGGAACACAGGAGTCAGTGAGGGGAACACAGGACATGGCAGTCAGTGAGGGGAAACCAGGAGTCAGTGAGGGGAACACAGGACATGGCTGTCAGTGAGGGGAACACAGGAGTCAGTGAGGGGAACACAGGACACGGCAGTCAGTGAGGGGAACACAGGACACGGCAGTCAGTGAGGGGAACACAGGAGTCAGTGAGGGGAACACAGGATACGGCAGTCAGTGAGGGGAACACAAGAGTCAGTGAGGGGAACTCAGGACACGGCAGTCAGTGAGGGGAACACAGGATACGGCAGTCAGTGAGGGGAACACAGGAGTCAGTGAGGGGAACACAGGACACGGCAGTCAGTGAGGGGAACACAGGAGCCAGTCAGGGGAACACAGGAGTCAGTGAGGGGACCACAGGAGTCAGTGAGGGGAACACAGGACATGGCAGTCAGTGAGGGGAACACAGGACACGGCAGTCAGTGAGGGGAACACAGGACACGGCAGTCAGTGAGGGGAACACAGCAGTCATTGAGGGGAACACAGGACACAGCAGTCAGTGAGGGGAACACAGGAGTCAGTGAGGGGAACACAGGACATGGCAGTCAGTGAGGGGAACACAGGAGTCAGTGAGGGGAACACAGGACACGGCAGTCAGTGAGGGGAACACAGGAGCCAGTCAGGGGAACACAGGAGTCAGTGAGGGGACCACAGGAGGCAGTGAGGGGAACACAGGACATGGCAGTCAGTTAGAGGAACATAGGACACGGCAGTTAGTGAGGGGAACACAGCAGTCATTGAGGGGAACACAGGACACAGCAGTCAGTGAGGGGAATGCAGGAGTCAGTGAGGGGAACACAGGACACGGCAGTAGTGAGGGGAACACAGGAGTCAGTGAGGGGAACACAGGACATGGCAGTCATTGAGGGGAACACAGGACATGGCAGTCAGTGAGGGGAACACAGGAGTCATTCAGGGGAACACAGGACACAGCAGTTAGTGAGGGGACCACAGGAGTCAGTGAGGGGAACACAGGACATGGCAGTCAGTGAGGGGAACATAGGACACGGCAGTCAGTGAGGGGAACACAGCAGTCATTGAGGGCAACACAGGACACAGCAGTCAGTGAGGGGAACACAGGAGTCAATGAGGGGAACACAGGACATGGCAGTCAGTGAGGGGAACGCAGGAGTCAGTGAGGGGAACACAGGACACGGCAGTAGTGAGGGGAACACAGGAGTCAGTGAGGGGAACACAGGACACGGCAGTCAGTGAGGGGAACACAGGACATGGCAGTCAGTGAGGGGAACACAGGAGTCAGTGAGGGGAACACAGGACATGGCAGTCAGTGAGGGGAACACAGGAGTCAGTGAGGGGAACACAGGATACGGCAGTCACTGAGGGGAAGACATGAAACATCAGTCAGTAAGGAAACACAGGACACAGCAGTCAGCAAGAAGAACAAAGGACACTCCAGTCATTGAGCGTAACACAGGACAAAGCAGTCAGTGAGGGGAATACAGGACATGTGTGATTAATATTATTATAATTCATATAGCAAAACTCCTTTATATTAAATTGTTACAAGACAACATTTAAAGGAATAGTTTATTATTATCAGAAGACCCATTCATATTCCATTAAAAAACAAGTGTCAGCAATCGCTTACCTTGTGTCTGAGTTTCACAATTGAAGCCAGTCCATCCATTCGTGCAGTTACATGTGTAACTATTAATGCCATCCATGCAAATCCCACCATTCTGACATGGATTGTTGGAACACTCATTGATGTTTTCTGAGCAGTTAGCACCATCCCATCCTAAATGACACTCACAGGTATAGTCTGAGATCCCAGGCTGGAAAGAGATGGTCATTAATATCATAGAATATCAGAA